GACCCCCAAACAACCTCTTCTTTTTAGTGCCGACATATACCTAAAAAAACATGGGCGTTTTGTATAAAAAATGATTTTAATCTATTAAATTAAATGAAATTATGACACTCAACAGGACACAATGGGAAAAAAAATCATGTAGCCGACCCCACTTAGGGGGATAAAGGTCTGTTGTTGTATAACTATGAAATAAAATTGTTAGATAATTTTCTTTTGTCTGATCGTATATTCTCGTCTTGGGAATCCAAGTTCCCAGGTCAGGTTGTGATAATAGTTCATTAATATTTTTTATTAACTTTTTCATATTCAAGCTTTTGTTTAAAGATGAATAGAAAAGGATGAAATGTTTATAGAAGGACTGGTCAGCAAATGAAAAGATAATTTTATTATTTATTTAAATCAAGTATTAGTGGATCTTTCCTTATTCTGGATTTAGAATGAAATAGAAAATTTGAATTTTACAGCCTAGTCGTCCGCCTGCCTTAGAAATTCAAAGCCCTCTAGTCGGGGCCTTGAAAATTAGCCTACCTTCACATAAATGGAATTGAATGTCTTGATTTAAAATCGGACAAAACACACTCATAGTTATAAGGATTTAAAGTGTAATTTGAAGCAAAAATGTTATCTATGCCATTTTATAAATTTAAGCTTAATTAATCTATTTGCATTTAAATTTACCAAACATTTTAATCCATATGGCATTAACCTAAATCTCTTTTTGCATTATTTACTAGTTTGTAATCTTTACATCAAGGAATTCAATACTTGGCCAGGATGCAAGTTAATACGTGCATAAAAGCGGCTTATATACTTTAGATTGATTGACGTTACAAAAACATTATACTTTTTTTTGGTTTCCCCAAAACGAGATATTTTACTTTATTACATTATTATTATTTATTATTGGCATGTCAAGCTCCGTTAGAACTTATAAATAATTTGAGGACTCGGTGACACTATCACAGATATATATGCATGCATCGGAGGACTTTTGGTCATCAAAATCATTTGTAAATCTAAAATCCAAAACTTCCAATGTATAATTTTATCCATCAAAATAGCAATACATGATAAATCTAACACTTTTGAATAATATATTTCTCCCACATTTAAATCAACAAATGAAAACCCAAGAGAAACCTCAAAGAACAAGAACCGTACCTCAGATGTCCCCAACCTATTCATATCTGAGGTACCAAAACCAATATCCACTTTCTGAGTATTCATCATAGTAGCAATTGCTGTGACATGAGTGATTGCATGTTAATCCACCAAAAATAAATAACAAACTTAAAGACGCAAGTTATTGAAAAAGTGAAATACAGTACCAATAAGATAAAGATGATATGCATACTGCAACCATCATTCTGCGGTGGTTAGAAAGCAACAGAATATCCCAGTTTAAAGGAAGCTTGAAAGCATAAACAAATGAAGGAAAATTCCACCTGCTATTCCAGCACAACACAGAATAATAGTAGGCTATCAATGTGTGAAATAACGTAAAATTTGTTTTGACAGCAGTGAAATTCTGAAAAATGTTTTAATTCTTGACCATCAAGATATTGTCTGATTTAGCCTAATAGTCTAGAGTTTTCTCACCTTGGAGCAACTTTTCAGGGATTCGCCCATCGCAGGAGAGTTCCTATATGACCACACAACTTAGAAGTTTCTGATAAATTTCCTATCACTGTACCAAAAAGTGCCAAAATATTTTCATGGCTTAGCTTTATACTACTTCAGGGGCATCATAATCATTATCATTTCGTAATAGCCCGAACGCTCAACCATCAAGATATTATTCAATTCAGTTTAACAGCCTCAAAGTCTTATCCCCTTGGTATTGCAAAGTTTTAGCCCATCCCAAGAGAACTCTCTAGTATGTTAACCACCACACCTTCTCCACATTATAATAGGGACAAATGTGTCAATGATGACATAGAATGCTGAATAATAGTCATTGTATGGCACAAATCAAAATCAAGATGCATCGCGCTAACCAAAACCAACAAACTATTGCTCATTCAGCAAAACAAACTTCACTAATGAATCTGAATCATTGCAACCAGCTAAGGATATTGGCATTAATGGACACATTGCAAATAAAGAAGACAAAAAAGTTACCAAAAAGTACACAAATGTCTTCCACTCACAAAACAGACTATGTCAGCATATCTGGAACATTGAAATCATCTAAAAAGAGCATTTTGTGACCAATTCGATCAAATATGATGAAAACAGCATAGTATAAATGTGATGTCCTATGAATTGGATCAGAATTACCTCGACCACCATCAAAATTGATCAAACATTGTTTGATCGACATTACAACAGCTAGAACATCATAAATACTTGATATGAAGAGCCATAATGACTGATTTCCCAAACAAAAGCAAAATGAAAAATTTGCCTGCACGCGAGGCCAACAACACAAGTATCGAGATGCATGAAACACACTCACAAAATGTCAAAATATGAATTTTTAAAGCCCATAGAGCATGGATAACATAAGAGTTTCGCCATCTAAGTCACAAATTTGAATTCTTGAACACGTCATGCACATATCCACTCAAATTGTAAGACATTATCCAAACATTTGATCATTCAACAAGAACATCAATTCAAAATAAGAAGTCAGATTCCATTAAAAACCTTAAAATGAACCAATTAGAATATAGTCAGCGCAAGCCTAGCTAGTTCATTGAATGGGTCGAAAACCTCCACTTGAATCCTACCCAACCAAAGTCAAATACGAACCAACAAGGCATGAAAAATACTTAGTTTGTGATGAGTTAGGATCAACCTGACTCAAAATTTGCATAATTACCAGACTTAAAATTATATATTTAAGTAATTATTTTGAGATTGACCCAAACTCAACCTTTTGTTTTGAGTCACTTAAGAAGACTCGAACCCAACTCAAATCTTACGTCAGTTTTGCCCAAACCTGAGTTTTTCTGTCCTCTTTGAGTAAGACAAATATGCAAGATCAAAATATTGACATCCCTACACATAAATACAAGGTAGTTATACTGAAATGTGGATCTAGCACAACAACGATACTAGAAGCTAAGTCTTAGTGGTCTTCGCTAAGCTCCACATTTGTAATAGCCAAACCTCTTAACTATCAAAATAATGTTCTCTTTAGCCTAATGGCCTCATGTTTTTTTTAACCTAGTGGCCTCGTGGTGTTGTCCTCTAGATGTAACACCAAGGAGTTCAACCATCTAAGGAGTGCTCCTATACAAGCATACTTAAGTTTGAAATTTCTAATAAAATTTCGACCCTGCACTAAAAGGTGCCTTCATTTCAAAGATTTCAACTTTATTCTACTTAAAGAATTTCACAATCACTACATATCCTAATAGATAAACCTTAATCTTGAATCTCAATCAATTCTCGTTCAAATACTTAGAGAAATTCAACATTTCTTAAGAATTCAAAAGCATAATGATCCAAGCCTAAACATAACCCAGCCCATTTATTTAAGTTCAAAAACAAACTTAAATGTTGCTCAACAAATAACTAGATAAAAAAACTTGATTGAGAATAATATAACTCATATATTCCTTAATTAAAATTTGATTAAATATAATTTATTTGATTCCTTTTTTAATAACAATATACTAAATATTTATTTACTTCATTATCTTAGTTACTTCACTAATTATCATATTCAGTTCTATAAATCCACCTCATTTAGTGGGATAAAAGCTTGTTCTTGTTGTTGTAGTTCTACATATCCACCTCTTATAACTTCCACCTCTGATTCCACAATTCCATAAAACAATTATATTAAAATAGAAAATAACTCGATGGTCAATAATTCGAGAAATTAAAAATAGTATCAGAGCAATACACAAGTTGAAAGATAGAAACTATCATAAAACATAGTGATATATCATGTGACATCAGAGTAAACCCAAACCACAAAAAATGAATTATTATTACTGAAATTCAAAACGGTTACAACGAAGACTCATCAAAACAGAAAATAAACGACAAACAAACACAAACAACGCCCTAGGAAGAGGATGCATGTGTTGTACCCTAGTCGGGGCTTGCGGCAGCATAGGCAGCATCAGCAGAAGGGTTGGGCGTTAGTTCTTGCAATAGGTGGGGGTGAGAGGGGTTGTGCGGGTAGCAAGGTAGAGTGGTGCAGCTGTGAAGGGAAAATAGAGTGCGGGAGGGAGTTACGGGTTGAGTGGAAGATTGGGTGGAATTGTTGGAGGACTGGAGGGCTTGGAACGGATGGTATGGGAGTTACGACGAGGCAAAGAACTTGTATGAGAGTTGCGGCTGGGAGGAAGTAGACGGGAAGGGGGTTACCACATTCCAGCTACTAGTAGAGAGGAAACCGGTGATTGTATGAGTGTTGGTAGGTGGACGACAGAGAGAAGAGGGGCGTGGGAGAGATAGACGGTAGCAAGAAAATGCGCGGCAAAGTTGGGGAAGATAAGTGTCCCCGCACAATCAAGTTATAGCCGGAGCACCCCCCGAAACCTTGAAGAAGATCAACATCTCGGACAGGTTACAGCCGGAGCACCTTCTCGCGGTCAGATACAACCGTGGGAAAATGGGAAGTCGGAGGCTGTCCAAACAAGAATCACCACAAAAACTGAGCCCTAAAACCAAATAACAGCAAATTTATAATAAACTGAGATAACTAAAAGGGTGGAAGGAAAGGAGGAGGCATACCAGTTCACCCTCGCAACTGAACTAGCACCTCTTCTGAACCGATAGCCTGATTTAGTCCCCTGCAAGCCCCCGTCATCATGTGAGCTATCACTTGAACTTGTGTTACACAAGAGCACTAAGGTGACCCCCTAAGAAGTCACACTAAAGGGACAAAACCACAAAGCCATAGCACGAAGCATACAATATTTTAATGGTCAAGAATTAAGGCCATAACAAATATTAGTTAAAACCATACTAGTTTGGTCTCTAACATCAATTGCTATGCTAGAAAAACTTCACAATACGACTACATGAAGTGTTAAATGTAGAGCATTCCAATATTAGACCTAACATAAGAACTCAACTTAAATAAACATTAACAATATGACTACATGAAGTGTTAAATGTAGAGCATTCCAATATTAGACCTAACATAAGAACTCAACTTAAATAAACATTAAAAATTCAAATTTTGTGCAAGATTTAGGTCGGATTCAAGTAAAGTTAAGTGACTCTAGACAAATATAGACAAGCCTGAGTTAACCCGAAAAATGATGACTTCATTATATGATTTTTAAATTGAACTAATTCTTGTATTACGCCAAAACAGACAATATCTCAATGGTTAAGAGTCCAGGCAATTACATTTTCTTGATATTGTAATTACTTATGATAAATCTCTACTTTCTACCATGCTGCCCAAAAATTATAAAAAAGTTTACCAATAGCACTAATGCTTTATTTGTCGTGGAAGTTTTCACATTTCCCTGGAAATGAAATTAATTCTTATTCATCATACGACTAAATCAAAATAAATACTTCTTTCAGTCATTTTTAAATAATCTCCAAAAAGAGGTTTCACAGACTATCTTCACAAGGGAGTTATGCATATGTGAGTAAAAATTAGTCTAGGGAGGATAGGCATTATATTAGCAAAAATTTTAATACAAGATATTAGTCCAGCAATTCATCAAAATTTAAATCAAATTGGTCCTAGAGTCAACTTTAACATTTCTTTAGACAGAAATAAGCTAATGACAACTTCCCATTAGAGGCATTCTGAAATTTTTAGGATCAGTATCGCTACTTAATACTACCTCAAACTAACAAGATAGGCCCCTAAAAGTTAAATAATTCCATCATAAGAAACTTTCTTTCGCCATTTTTTAAGAAGTTAACAGTATAACCAAATTGGTTCAATTTTAGTGAGTAGGGGGATTGAATACTTCGAAAACATTAAGACAAAAATAGGCACAACTGAAAAAATTAGAGATCATTTTGATCATTTACTCGATTAATTAAAACTAATAGTATAAATTTTCAAAGAATGAATATTTACATGGGCTTTCGATAATTCCCGTGCTAGCATCAGCATATTCCAATTCTTCATCACTATCCTGCTTGGATGGTTGTGGAAGAAGGGAAACATTCGAGTAAGCAGGAATCACTATTTGCTGCCCAACCTCAACCTGCAAGAAAATTTTATATCATGTAATCACATTCAACAGAGTATTTATGCTTGTTGAACAAAGAAATCAAAGCTGGTTAAGCTAGATATTTAGCAACTCTGTATCACATATAAAAAAATAGTCCATCTTAGTTCCTAAAGAAGCAAGCCAAAATCTAACTAGGATCAAATTGGCATTCTTTCAGACTAAGAAAAAAATAATAATAAAAAACTAGTGCAACAGTTGCAACCATAAAAATAACTGTGAGCTTGTTGAGTGAATGTATGAATTGTTAAGCATTTTACTCAAAAATCATTTTAAAGAATTTCTATCAAGGTGTCCTTATGTGAACCATTTTTTTCCTTACTTCACTGAAACTAATTCGAATTGACTTTCAATTATCTTATCTTCAATAAATATCACTCCAATATAATTTCTATTAAAGCCATTTGTTAAATTTACCCTTCCTAATTTCATCAAATATCCATCTTAACATTGACATTTCTTATCACATTCAACTTAAATATCTAGAATTTTTTACAACACAATCTTTAAATTCATATAGCATCGCCAATATAATTATGATTTTATAAACTTTAAGTCACTGCCTGGTTTACGAGTTTGAAATTATCAAGGCGTAATCAGATGATCAAATCATGAAATTTCTCTTTCGTGTGGTTGATGTGTGTGTGTGTGTGTGTGTGTGTGTGTGAGAGAGAGAGAGAGAGAGAGAGAGGGAGAGAGACAAAATTTATTATCCTTCCTTACTGTTTTCAAACAGTTAAAACTTTAATGCATGAGCAATCGTGGGCATTTAGCAAAATAATCCAAGAAATTTACTAATAAAACTTTCAAATGACAGCTTCTACTTATTGGCACTTCTAATTGGTATTAAACTAAGTTACCATACAATTCATGTCCTTATTATTTCATATGGCACCCAAGATTTAATCCAACCAAACATTGTCAATTAGATAAATTACAAACTTTTGAAGACAATAATGTCAAGGCAGTTAAACCAAATAAATCAGTAAACATTCAATACCCACAAGTACAAAGACATGAAACAGAATACAGAAGACAAATTAAGAATGAAAAAGGGTAAAAAAAAATTAAACCATAAATAAATGGCATCAAAACTATGATATGAACATCAATTACCTTGAAGGATAATATGACGCCAGGCTCAAGAACTACACCTGTCCTTAGATGAACACCGTCACAAACAACAGCATGGCTTAATTTACAACCATCTTCAATGATGACATTATCCCATATATAAGAACCTTCTATTACAACATTGTGCCCGATTGTGCAACCTTGACCGATCACTGAATTAGAGATAATAGTATCATCACCAACTGTGGCTGCATTACCAAGCACGGTAAAAGCATCAATGCGTGCAGAACGTGACTGGACAACCTCTGGAAAGATAAGTGGAATGTTAAAAATCATTAGCATGAACTAAGTACAAAATGCCGTAACTGATACAGACAATTTCACTGCAATAGGTTGTTCAAAAACTATCAAATTCAAATGCAATCAATTATCCGAAGAAACAATAAGCAAGTTATCTATTTAAATGTTGTAAGTTTTAAAGGACTCTCAATCCCTAAATTAGACAAAAAATACAGATTTGCAGCAGATTTTGTGCATCATTAATTTTTTATTCCGATTTAAGAAGAAATATACTCTTCCTTACAACAATATGTTCTTCCATACAACAGGCAAACGCTCCTGCTCTATGCATTTCTTTTCTTCATGGATTGTATATTACTTTTCCAAACATTGATAATTAATAATCAGCTCTACAATCATCATAAGTTTCAACCGTAGCCAACTCAAAAAGTCATAGAAAAAAAATCAACTGTTAATAATTCAGTGTCAGTATCTCTAAGATATAGAATCCTCGATCAAACAAAATGAAGCCAATTTTCTTTCTTGATATTCCAACTTGCACGGGCAGTTAATACATAAAAGAAAACAAAAAAAATGTAGTCCTTTGATTTAATATTACATAACAAAAAAATTTCCAACATATTAACAATATACAATTTCAGCATTTACTGCAGTTTCTCAGAAGGAATACTTTCATTAACATCTCATCACTTAAAGCATGCACAAAAATCAAACAAAGAGAGAAAGAAGAAATATGCTAAAAATATGCAACATGTCATATCTGGAACTGAGATTTCGATTTAGTGAGAATGTGATCGAGTACAAGATTTCAACCAGATCAAATCAATACATAAACCTCAGGTGGCTAAAAGAAATCAACTAAAATTCAAACTTCATAAAAAACATGAACTAGATCAGTTTCTAATTATGGCTAAAGATCTCAAAATTTTAAAATTTGAATAATTTTAAGAGATTTGTTTTCTATTGATAAGAATTGGTTTGAATTTGAATGATAGTTGGGATTGATATAATTAATATTTTTAAAAGTGCGCTTCAAGTGCAAAGCAAAGCGAAACGCGTGAAGCCAGCTTTGCTTTGTTTAAGCATGTTTTGAAGCGTTGAAGCAAAGTGGTAGGTTCAATTCATAATTTAGCAAGAGGGAATAAAGGGCTATTGAATTAATTTAGCTTGTTTTATGAAAATTGAGACTTTATTGGTTTATGTATGCTTTAAAATTTAGAGTTTGTTTTCAGGTATAATATTTATTTTACAATTTTTAAGTTTTTAAGTACTAAAATAAATTATTAAAATTTATTAAAAATTTTAATTTGCAGCTTCACCCTCAATATTTTCCTTCAAGTTAGGTATTATATCAATTCTTTTTTATCTTATATTAACTTTTAAGTTATTCTTTATATTTTATAATCATTAATAAAGATATTTATACAATAATAATTTTATATAACCTTTTAGTAGTTTAGTTAATAAAAGTACTGCTTTGCTTTGCGCTATGCTTTGAAGCAAAAATAAAGCCTTGTGCATCGCATTGTGCTTTACACTCAGATAACAATAGATAGAACTACTTAAGCATTTTAATATTTGATATTACACTAGTAACACTATTTATATAGAGAGAGATTCATAATTAATATTTGAATTATTTATGATAAACAATTGAATGAATGAAATCATTTGAAGCAAAATGAGTGAAAACCTCTCATTTGAATGGACAGATGTGCAAAAAAACATTTCATTAATTTCATAAGTGGCACAGAATCAGGACCAATGTTTATTAACTGTGAAGGGGACTATGAAGATAAGTTTTACATTATCAGTGAAATTAAAGAAGTAATTGTGAGTGTATGTTCAAATAAAAGGGTTCAAGAAATCACTGATAAAACACCTGTGTTGAGAGCTGTCAGAGCATTGATTGAGGCTCGGTATCATCATATATTTGGACTTCTTGTATTGTTCATACATTAGACTTAATATTGAAGAATATATGCATTCCAAAGAGTATGGAATGAAATAAAAATCAATTATGAGCAATGTAGCTGGATAATTGATAATACGGGAGCTGTCAATTTTATTAAAACTTTCATTATGAATTATTTATTAAAATTGTCAATATTCAATAAGTTTGTAAAGCTGAAAATGTTGGCTATTACAGAGACCCATTTTGCATCAAATATAGTCATTCTTAAGAGATTCAAAGCAATAAAACAATAGCTGCAAACAATGGTGATCAGTGAGAGGTGATGAATGCATCATGAAGGTGATATAAACAAGAGAAAATTTGTTAAGAAAAAAAAACTTGAATGATGTGTGGTGGGATAAAATTAATATTTTATTACCTATACAGAACTTGAATATGATATGTTGAGACTGGCTAATGTAGATAAACCATGTATCTACCTTTGTCTATGAAATGAGAGATTCTATGATAGGAAATGTGAAAATTCTATCAACACGAAGTAAGAAAAACAAAGAAGAACATCTTTCGTAAAGTTGTATATGATATTCAAGTAAAATAATGAAATAAAAGCAACACCCGTCATCATTTTTATCTCACTCTATCAATCCAATGTATGATTTGATTTAATATTTATCTTTTAAATCATAATTTAGATTAGTTTTTGTTAGAAATTATTTAGTTTATTAGTTTTTGTTAGTTCTGGTTATTTCCTATTTGTTGTATTTCCTAGTTTATGACTTTCCATTTATCATCGAGTAGTAATTAGGTAGAGATTTTAGTATTATATTTTTTTCTTATTTTAGAATCATTGTATCATGTATTTATACCTCTTTCAATACCAATAACATCATCCTGCTCAATTCCCAAAACCTAAATGGTATCAGAGCCGCTGATCATACCCTAGTCATCAGGACAATACCCTAACCGTCGGAACTTCCCTGCAAACCTTCCTCCGCAGTTTTTCAGTCATCCAATCCCTTCTTTGCAAGCTCTGACGCCAGCAGCCTCTCCCCTGCTAGCTCTCCCACCGTCGAACCTCCCTCCTGTCAGCCAGATCTCTTTCTAGAACCGCTAGAACTCTCTTCTTCGGCCAAAACCCTCTCATGTAGACCCTTCCGCCGTCGGACCTCCCTCCTGTCGGATACAAGCCCTATTTTATTGTCAGTTGCATAAGAGTCCGTCTACATCTATTTCTCGGCACCCACACCTCATATTTGACTCCGTTAGTGTCATAGTGAATTCACCCACTACTGAGCTTTCATTCTAGAATGCCCTTGAGTCCAAAGGAGGATTGGCACCTACCTCAATTCCTCCGCAAACCGGAGAACATGACAAGCCCATGGATTTTCTGATCACCACTCACAAACTCAACGGCTCGAATTCCCACCAATTGTCTCAAGCCATTTCGATGTTCGTCAAAGATTAGGGTAAATTTGGTCCCCTCACAAGTGCAATTTGTAACCTCCAAAGACTGGACTAGCATATGCAGCAGAAGAAGGGGAGAATTTCATGGTTATGTCATGGCTGATTAATTCCATGGAGACCTCGATTGACCTTTCATACATGTTTCTTCCGTCTGCCAGTACTCTTTGGACTGTCATTCGAGATATCTACTCAGACGTAAGGAACTATGAACAACTCTATAAAATTTCTAATAAGATCTGTAAGGCAATACAGGGATCAAAGACAGTCACAAAGTACTACAATGATTTGGTTGTCTTAAGGATGGAATGTGGCCTCTATTATAACTACATGTGGGACTCTCCCGCAGATCTTTCTCTCTTACAAAAAATTCCAGACAAGGATCTTGTATCTTGTGTACCAATTACTAGCAAGCCTGAACAAGGGTCTCAATGAAGTCTGTGGTCGTATACTTGATCGTGATCCTCTTCCTCCAACTTGGGTGTCATTCACTGATTTCCACCGCAAAGAAAGACGAAGACTTATCATGCTCGACAACTCCACTAATTCAGCTGAGTCTTCAACCTTGGTCTCCAACAGTGCCCACACTCTGTCACGTCGTTGTGCACCAATCACTCCACTTGTGATTTTTGTCACAAGCTCTACCATACCTATGATAAGTGTTGGAAGCTCCATGGGAAGCTGACAAATAACTCCTCAACCAAATCTTCCGCAGTTCAAGGTATTGCTACAACCTCAGAATCCATCAAGCGTCAGATGGAGCACTTAGGGCCCATTTGGCACAGCTTTTTCGACGCGTTGCGTTTTAAAAATGCAGGTCTGCCCTTTTGGAAATCGCAACGCAGCGACGTTCGAAATAATTTATGTTCAAATGCGGTAGCAGGTCAACCCTGCTGCCCGCGTTTCTTCGCATGCATTTACTCTGCGTCCTTCTCTGCGTTTCTTTTTTCTCTCGACGCTCCCTCTCTTGCATTCCTTCTGCCCTGGCTACCTCTCTCGATCACTTAACACCGTTGCCGAGGTATCCCTCGTTTCTCTCGCGCCTCTCTCACACATTTTAAGCGGCTCTCTCCAGTGGCAACTTGCATTTCTCTTCTCTCTTTTCCCTCTGATCTCTGGTTTTTGTGCACGGTATGTAAATAAAGCGCTCATTTTCGATGGAATGGCTTTCTCTTTGCGATTTGTAGCTTTCTAATTTGTTGTTTGTAGGGTTTTGTGAGAATTTTAAGGAATCGATCTCATTTTCCAAACGATTTGTGGCTTTCTCAAATGACTTTCTCATTTTCCTCTCTGGTTAGAATTTTGTGACTTTCTCAAATGGCTTTCTCTTTTTCCTCTCTCTGAGATTTGCGGCTCTCTCAAATGGCTTTCTTTGTGGGAATTTTGTCAATTTTTCAAGTTCTGTTATTTCTATGGTTCTGCGATTTGTTTGGATGTCCTATATTCAGATAGCACCGTTTTGGGCGCCCTATGTGTAGATAACAATATTTCGGGTGCCCTATATGTTACTAAATTGAAAAATGGATGAAAAAAGGATCTTGATTTGTAGACAGCACTGTTTAAGGTGCCCAAAGGAGCTTGATTTGTTGACAACACTGTTTCAGGTGCCCAGTTTGTAGATAGCAGTGT